GGTTTAGAATCCTCAGCCTCAGATCCTGTAATTCGTGGAGTAATTTCTAGGTCATTAATTTCTAGTCAATCAAGTTTATTGATGAAATTGACCAGTGAGACTGTCCTCATGGTACAACAGGTTTGAATGTGTTGCTGCAGACCATTCATAAACACCCTGTTATGTTCACATCTGGTGCTACACCTTGTCTTTCTGCTTAATCATAACCAGTGAGACAGACAACGTGTTAGTTCACTTTTAGTTCTTAGAATCACAGTATGTTTTAGCAGTCTCTGACATGAGCTTCTGCTCCTGTGAGCCCCTTTGTTCTAAACAAGAGTGGAATAGTTATATCCTAGACCACCTGCCTTTTTCCTTTCTTGAGGAGTGCTAGAGGATATATAGTTAGATACATTTTTGTAGACCATTTGTGAGGTAGGTTTCATGCCTAAGGTAAAAAGTGAAATCAATGTTTTGTGCTTATTTAATCACTTTAATAATACATCATACTGGGAAATCCAGTACTTTTCATAGCAGTTGCCTTTCTGACTCTTTGTTGTTTGATGAAAATCAGATGTTGCTATAGGAGGTTAGCAGAGGCATTAGAATGGAATGTAGAGCATCACATATTGATCAGTTGGTTTTGAGCACCTATGTTATATAGGTATATTCCTGAGCCTTATGGGAGAAGTAAGGTGCTTTAAATAATGATATATAAGATTTAGTGCCAAACTTGTTGGCTGAGGTAGAGGAAAAGAAGGGTGTTTTAGAGGAGGTGGAACTTGAGGTGAGGCTAGAGAGAAGGAAGAAGAGTTTCAAAGGGCGTTCTCCTCTAGTAAAGGCTCAGAACTGTTCTGAGCAAACCATTGTATGGGAGGATCATTGTCAAACTACAAAACTAGTTTGACAGAGAGAAGATTTAAATTGTCAAGCAGAGGGATGGGAAGGGTGGGGCGAGCTTTTCTGGCTGGCACTGAAGTCCAAGATTAGAAATTCTGTTTAGATTATTTAGAATGTTGGAGTTGAAAGGTCCTTTAGAGGTCACTAATAACTAAGTCCAGAAGGGGCTTATCCAGGGTCATTCAGCCAGTTAGTGCAACAGCCAGAACTGAAACCCAGAATCTATATACTAGACAGTCATTACATATACTATTTTACTATTTCATGTTATTTTTGATAACATAATACCAGTCTTTTTTTTTTTTTTTTTTTTTTTTTTTGAGATGGAGTCTCACTCTGTTGCCCAGGTTGGAGTTGGAGTGCAGTGGCGTGATCTTGGCTCACTGCAGCCTCCACTTCCCGGGTTCAAGCAATTCTCCCACTTCAGTCTCCCTAGTAGCTGGGACTACAGGCGTGCACCAATACGCCTGGCTAATTTTTGTTTTGTTTGTTTTATTTTTAGTAGAGACAGGGTTTCACTATGTTGGCCAGGCTGGTCTCAAACTCCTAACCTCAGGTGATCTATGCATGTTGGCCTCCCAAAGTGCTGGGATTATAGGCATCAGCCACCGCGCCCGGCCCCTTCTGAGATTATAAGTTTTCTGACGGTAGCTACTTCTGAGTGCCTCCTGAGTCTAAGGTATGGTCCTTCACGGAAAAGTACTTATTTTGCATCCTCCATGACGTTTAGTACTATAACTCTTTCTCAGAAGGCGTTCAGTAAGTACCTATTGATTGATGCATCCCTGATGAATTGAATTACATGCTCACATAAGGAAATGCCATTGCAATGGTTGATTTAATTCAACTAGGAGCTCTGTGACAATATTAGTAATTGTTCTGTCCATTAAATTCTACTATTTCTACTTTATTTTCTTGACAATAAGTAGCCAAAAGGGGTTTGGACCAGAGAAATGGCAAAATGATAATAGTGTTTTTTAAAAAGACAGTCTTTTGTCTGGAAAATAAATAAAATGTAAGGCATCAAACTCTCCAAGAGAGTATTGCATCTAGAGTTCATGTTATCATAGTACCTTCCTTCTAAAGAAGTGTAGCTGGTAAATAATCAGATGTAACTGTCCACACTCATGATTGACCTTGCCTGGAGTATGCCGTCAGTCAACATTAAAGTGTTCATTACAATGAAGGAGGTAAATTTAAAGAGTCACTGTATTTTTTGCCTTCCAAGATCATTTTAGGTGTCCTTAATGTACTGTAAAATCTTTCTCTTTTCTGAACAAAGGCTGAGCCTTGAATGACCATCAGTTGTTAAAAACACCAGTGCTAAACTGGGCACATTGGCTCATGCCTATAATCCCAGCTACTTGGGAGGCTGAGGTGGGAGGATTGCTTGAGCCCAGGAGGTTGAGGCTGCTGTGAGCTATGATGGTGCCACTGCACTCCAGCCTGTGTGACAGAGCAAGACCCTGTCTCAACAAAAAACAAAAAACAACGAAAAGCTGGCTCCTCATCCGGATACAGGGATTCTATCTTCCCGTTGTGTACTAATGAAATAACTGTTCATTATTGTGGGTTCTACTTGCAGGGTTCAGACTAGGCAATGTGGTACATGCTATACAGGCAACTGAGCAGAGCATTCATGCCACTGACCTGGTACCTCGCTTATGCTTAACATTAGCCAACCTGAACCGTGTGATTTATTTCATCTGTGACACCATCCTCTGGGTGAGGAGCGTAGGTCTCACCTCTGGCATCAACAAAGAGAAATGGCGAACGAGGGCTGCCCACCACTACTGCTTTTCTCTTCTGCTGAGCCTGGTCAGGGATCTGTATGAAATCTCCCTGCAGATGAAACGAGTTACACGTGACAGGGCAAAGAAAGAGAAATCAGCATCCCAGGATTCTCTTGGGTACAGTGTGGCTGATGAGGAAACAGAATGGCTCCAATCCTTTCTACTTCTCTTATTCCGATCTCTGAAGCAGCATCCTCCCTTGCTTCTGGACACGGTGAAGAACCTTTGTGATATCCTGAACCCTTTGGACCAGCTGGGGATCTATAAGTCCAATCCTGGCATCATTGGACTTGGAGGTCTTGTGTCCTCTATAGCAGGCATGATCACTGTGGCATATCCTCAGATGAAGTTGAAGACCCGTTAGAGTGTTTTTAGGCTTGGAACTAGTACCTACTTTAAAAGATGGCCTCTTAGTGGGATAGAAATTTGTGTAAGTCAAGGCCATGTCATACTGTGCTTAAGTTCTTGTTCATGTGAGCATTTAACAACCTATGATGTGGGCAGAGTTGAGGCCAAGAATGGAGAAGGGAGGAACATGAAGACTTGTATGTTTTTGGAGTGCTGGAGTGACTTGTGAATTTCTGAATATTTTCCCTTCATCTAACATTGATTGAACATCTCTTATGTGCATAGTGGGAGCTTAGTATTTGCTGAATGAATAAAAATTGAAAGGAAAAAATTTAAAAAGACCCAATCACACTGATCATTTAACACTAATATACAATAACTTTAGGGTTATATGGATCATTGGTTTCACATAATTACAGTAGGTCTGGTGCATGGCACTCTCAGATCTAGTAGAGGCTCTGATGTCAGTAGCAGGGTGGAGGAGAGCTGGGCTGACAGCCTCTCAACTTGTTGGCCTTTAGACCATCACTATACTCATGTCCTTGCTCTGTCCAGAAGTAGAATCAGAAAAGCATCAGGCACCTTTATGGTATAAATTGTGTCTATGGGTGCAGTGAATAAGCAAAAATCAGAAGCAGACAGGAGGGACTTATAAAAATAGGCAGAGAGTCACAATGGGTGCCTATATGTAGCCTGTGACAGATAAGAAGCTGACAGACAAAAAACAACTAACGCTAGAGCCTCATTCCTCTGACTTCTAATCCAGTGTTTGTTCCATGCTCTCCCACTGTCTTCAGAATTGAGTAGAAATGTGATCCCCTCCTGAATCCTGTCTTTTGCCTCTTACTCTCCCATAATTTGGACCTTCCTTGTCCAGTGGTTTATATTCTTTTCTAGAAAAACTAAAACTGGGTGGAGTGTGGTGGCTCACACCTATAATCCCAGCACTTTGGGAGGCTGAAGCAGAAGGATTGCTTGAGGCCAGGAGTTCAAGACCAGCCTGGGCAATGTAGTGAGACCCCCATCTCTACAACAAAGTGTTAAAAAATTAGCCAGGCGTGGTGGCATATGCCTGTAGTCCCAGTTACTCTGGAGGCTGAAGCAGGAGGATCACTTGAGTCCAGGAGTTCAAGGTTGCAGTGAGCTTCCACCGCACTCCAGCCTGGGTGATAGAGCAAGACCTTGAGTCTTAAAAAAAAAATTGTAACAGTATTTAGACTCATCAGCTAGATTGTTTTATTTAAATCCTTCTAACAATTTAGGCAATACTACATTAATTTTCATCAAAATTTATCTAGTCAAAAAAATTTCATGATACTCCAGATGTAACAGGGTCACAATTTTCTATGATAAATCAGACATCTTATTTGTAGGGCGATTGAGGGAGGTGGAAGGCAAAGGAGGAAGCCAGTGAAGAGGACACTGGAATGCTGAGTCAATGACATTAACTCGTGTTCCTATCACCCATCTTGGGTGTGGGTCTTTATATGTGGTTACAGATCCTTTAGTTTGAGGGAGGTGAGGTAGGGAAATAGGATGCCAGCAGGTAGGAGGCTGATGTCAGCCCTCCCAGCAAAGCCGTGTCATTTATCTGAATGGAAATGAGAAAATAAATATGTACTCAATAAGTTATATTTCCCAGAAATGTGATTGAGATTCTCAAAAAATAGACTCAGATTCTTGGCTGTCTGTTTAACCAATCAAGATACGGAATTTGAGAAATAAAATTTTGGAAATTTTAAGAGACATGAAAGCTACTAGGTCAGGGCAAATAAAAAGTTTAAATAACTATTTTTATTGTCCAGATCCTCTACTGTAATAGATTAATTATGTTCAATAAATTTCTAGACAAAATTGACTTGTGTCTGTGAGTATGTTCTGGGAACAGAGAAAAGTTAAACGTAAGGCAATCCAGCAGATAATCCTCAATCAGCCTACACAGTTGGTACAGTGAGCTCTGGGCTGGAAGATCCAGACTGAGGAGGAGGATGGAGAAAGATTGAGATGTAGAGCCTCTGGGTTGAAAGGGACCTCTGAATGAACTCATCCAGACTGCTGCCATGGAGAGGGTGCTCTACAGTAGCCCTGTCAATGGCTGGCTGGCTTCTGCCTAGATAAGTCTGCGTTGAATTCATGGAGGTATGTTACAGTGGTATCCATCTTAATGGTGTCCTGGTACCTCCCTGTGAATCCTTTCTAACTAATGTTTTCCACCCCAGAGCCTCCACATTCATGAGGGATGCCAAAAATTGAAGTTCTTCATAGATGTACAGCCCAGCACATTCACAACTGAGCATTGTTGCCTGATAATTCATTTATTCAACAATGAATGTTTGAGTGCCATGCATAGTTTTGGGGATCCACTTGTGAGGAAGATGACCTAGGTCCCTGCTCTCATGTGGTGGAGGGGTAGAGAAAGCAGGTAGGGACGGAGAAGGAAAGAAGATAGAACTCTATCCCCTGCAAGCTACTGCTAGAAAACTAACACTTCTGTCTTCCCTCGGGACTCTCCTAGGCCCTTTCACCATTTCTCACCTCTCACCCACATTCTGCACTCCCAGCTAAAGCAGCCAAAGGACTAGTTGATTTGGCAGAGCTTTCAGGCACAAAGCCCTATACTCCCTCTGGCCCAAAGCCACTACTCTGAAGGCTGAAAACTGCCCTTTGGCTCAGGTTGCTGTCCAGTCACAACCTCACAGATAATTTGTGCTGAACCTTGAGGTGAGGGCAGAGGCCACTTCTTTAAATACTTTGTCTTCTCTACTGCCTTACATTTGAAAAGCCCAGGTTGGATCAGTAAGTATTAAATGTATAGCATATTACTCCTTTGAAGCCTCCCTGCTTGACTCCTCCCTTTCCTGCCTTCTCATTCCCTACTTTATTGCATCACAGATACGTAATTTATTACCAAGGATCTTTCATAATTCCCCACTCCCATCTCTTTCTTCTCTTGCCCACAGTGTGTGACTTAGAAGAGTCAACAATACATGTAATTCCACCAGCAACAAAGAAAATACGTTTTGTTTTCCTATTGTCCATTTTCACAAAGAGGCCCTTCTTAGTTAATCTGAAAGCTATGGCTTACACCATAGTCCTCCATCATATCTGAAGCCAGGAACTAGAACTTGAGTCCTGGCTAAAGAAGGGTTGAGTGGTATTAGTTCTTGGTTGTCTGGGTGCTATTGATTAGTGATAGAATCTTAGTCAACACCGTCGCTTATCCAGACTCAGGGGAACAAAAATCTACTTGGCTCTCCCACTCTTCATTCTGGTAGCATCTTAGGCCAGGTAAAGTTCAACAAATTTTTTTGAACTCTAAGAAGTGGAAATTCCTCCCTCAAAGGCTATATTGTCAAAAACAACTCCCGGCTCTGTTGCTTCTTCACTGAGGGCAATTTATCTCCATAATCAAAGACGAATACATTCAGATGAACTCTTCTGTGTGGGTTTAAATTTTACTGTTCAACATTCACTCTTGCTAGTAAATAAGAAAAGATGAGAGAAATGGATTGAGAACTGTCCCACAAGACCCTCTACAGAAAAGGAGGCAAAAGATTGCAGAGGTATATAGAACTTTAGAGCTTTTGAGTTTAACGATGTATATCCCTATACCTTCTTTCTGGAAAACAGACTTTTGTGAATTGAGGGCAGGAACATTATAGAACTGATGCTTCATGGCTCTGGAATACTAAGTCCTCTGAGCCTGGATCTCCTTCAGCTCTGCCACCTACCTCCTTGTTTGCTAAATGTCCTTAGAGAAGTTAGGATATGCCCGGGGAACCCTGGGTCAGATAACCATGACAACTGCTGACCCTGCTTTCTCTTCCTCTCTGCCCTCCTCTAGCTGGGAGGCGTTAGTAGCATTGCCCAAGACTCCCAGGAGTGATAGGAATTGTTTCTGCCTGAGGAGACGCTCTGCAGCCTGGGCTCTGTGAGACTGACGTGGCGGTCAGCTGGAGTGAGTGTTGGGGTCCTGGGGCACCTGCCTTACATGGCTTGTTTATGAACATTAAAGGGAAGAAGTCGAAGGTAAGGGCCTCTTGGGAATTTTGCTTGGGATGAAAAGCTCTGCAGGGAAACTACTGAGGGAGAGATTCTGGTATAGATATTCTATACCAGAAGTATAGAATAGCTATTCTGGGGCTACAGTCTTTTCTAGAACACAGATATGTTTGCTTAGAAATAGAAGAATTGGATAGGAACAGTGGATCATGCCTTTAATCCCAGCACTGCAGGTGGCCAAGGCAGGTGGATCACTTGAGCCCAGGAGTTCAAGAACAACCTGGGCAACATAGTGGGATCCTGTCTCTACAAAAAAAGAAAAAAATTAGCCCTGCATAGTGGTGCATGCCTGTAGTCCCAGCTACTTGGGAGGCTGAGGTGGGACGGTACCTTGATCCCAGGAGATCAAGGCTGCAGTGAGCCATGATTGTGTCACCACATTCCATCCTGGGCAACAGATTGAGACCCTGTCTCAAAAAAAAAGATAAGGAGAGGGGGAGAGGGACAGACACACACACACAGAGAGAGAGAGAGAGAGAGAGAAATAGAGGAATTAACCCAGAGCCTTTTCAAAGATGAAACCTGAAACTTGCTTATTTATTTTTTTAGAGATGGGGGTCTCACTATATTGCCCAGGCTGATCTCAAACTCCTGGGCTCAAGCAATTCTCCCATGTTAGCCTCAGTAGCTGGGATTACAGGTGCTTGCCAATGCACCCAGCTTGAAACTTGTTGTTTTAGTCTCTTTTGGACCCTCATTAAAGAGCCTTAAGACTTTAGCTAAAACTTTTTATCTCTTATGGCTGCCTGCATTTTTTATTTCCTAACCTGAACTCTTTTTTTTTTTGAAATGGAGTTTTGCTCTTGTCGCCCAGGCTGGAATACAGTGGCATGATCTCAGCTCACTGCAACCTCCGCCTCCCGGGCTCAAGTGATTCTCCTGCCTCAGCCTCCCAAGTAGCTGGATTACAGACGCCCACCACCATGCCTGGCTAATTTTTGTATTTTTAGTAGAGACAGAGTTTCACCATGTTGCCCAGGCTGGTCTCGAACTCCTGACCTCAGGTGATCTACCCGCCTTGGCCTCCCAAAGTGCTGGGATTACAGGCCTGAGCCACTGTACCTGGCCTCCTAACCTGAACTCTTATAAGAAACGTTATTCTTGGCTTGGCCAAGGTGGGCAGATCACGTGAGATCAGGAGTTCGAGACCAGCCTGGCCAATATGATGAAACCCCATCTCTACTAAAAATACAAAAATTAGCTGGTATGGTGGCTCATGCCTGTAATCCCAGCACTTTGGGAGGCCGAGGTGGGCGGATCATGAGGTCAGGAGATCGAGACCATCCTGGCTAACACGGTGAAACCCCATCTCTACTAAAAAAAAAAAAAAAAAAAAATTAGCCGGGCGTGGTGGCAGGCGCTTGTAGTCCCAGCTACTTGGGAGGCTGAGGCAGGAGAATGGTGTGAACCCACGAAGCAGAGCTTGCAGTGAGCGGAGATCATGCCACTGCACTCTAGCCTGCGCAACAGTGTGAGATTCCATCTCAAAAGGAAAAAAAAAAACCCATCTCTACTAAAAATACAAAAAATTAAAATAAAATAAAATTAACCAGGAGTGGTGGTGGGCGCCTGTAATCCCAGTTACTGGGGAAGCTGAGGCAGGAGAATCCCTTGAACCCGGGAGGCAGAGGTTGCAGTGAGCTGAGATTGTGCAACTACATTCCAGCCTGGGCGACAGAGCAAGACTCCATTTCAAAGAAAGAAAGAAAGAAAGAAACATCAGTCTTGACAAGTAAGCTATGGAGCAACTCATTCCTATGGGACCCTAAGGAGTGGGGCTATTGTGTGTGACATTCACCCTCCAACCTAATGCCTTCCGTTCAGGGCAAATGGGCCCCCAGGCAGCCTGGGCCTAGTTGGTGGCCATGAGAAGTAGGGGAGTGACCCAGTGGAGCTCAAGCCTGAGGGCTTCTGATGGGACCTGGGACTCTGTTTTGCAGCTTGAAGAGCTAGGATGGCAGTCAACAAAGGCCCCACCTTGCTGGATGGAGACCTCCCTGTAAGTAACTTGGGCTTATCTGTGACAGGGGATGGACAACTGAGGGAGGAGGAAGAAGGGAGGGAAGATGCAGGGGACTTAGAGCAAGATATGCCCAGATTATAATCCTAGTTCATTGACTACCATGGCTTAGTTATTCTTGCCCTCACCACCTTTTGTAGAGGGCAGTTGGAGGATCTGGGAGAGGAAAAAAGATGCTTATTAAAAACTAAGCACCTTGGAAAAAAGGGACAGAAATCCTGGCTTAGGGACAGTGGGGAATGGAGAGGAAGGGAACGACTATGTTTAAACCCTGACGCAGAAGCCCATGCTCTGTCCACCGCCCAGCTGGATGTGTATTCAGTGCAGAGCCACTGCATTCTTTGTCTCCAGCATCATTCATATGGCAAATGGCACCTCCCGGAGTCAGACGGTGCACAACCTGTGCTGCTGTGTCAGGGGAAGGGTGGGATATTCCGTGTGTCTGGTGTTCTATCTCTGACCTGGTTTTCACTGTGATTTGAAGTGGTTTGATACTTTTAGGAATGCTTGATGGCTCCTGGCAAGGCATCTCAGATTTGCACGCAGTTCAGATAGTGAAACTTAAAAATTGTGAACCTGTACAATATCCACCTTGCCCAAGTTAGGCTTATACTAACTCTTGCACTAGGAATCACTTTGTTTTGTATTGAATAATAGAAGAGAGAGGCGTAAAATGGTCAAGTACATAGTGAAGCCATTCTAACAGACGGTTTATTCCCTTCCCAGGATCTCTTTCCCCCTTTGGTTTTGTCTAAAACAACCTCTGAACGCTCTGTCCAAACTGTTAAAAAGAATGTTTTCACTGGGCGCGGTGGCTCAAGCCTGTAATCCCAGCACTTTGGGAGGCCGAGGTGGGCGGATCACAAGGTCAGGAGATAGAGACCATCCTGGCCAACACTGTGAAACCCCGTCTCTACTAAAAATACAAAAAATTAGCCGGGTGTGGTGGCGGGCGCCTGTAGTCCCAGCTACTCGGGAGGCTGAGGCAGGAGAATGGCGTGAACCCGGGAGGTGGAGCTTGCAGTGAGCTGAGATCGCGCCACTGCACTCCAGCCTGGGAGACAGCGAGACTCCGTCTCAAAACAAAAACAAAAACAAAAAAACTCGAAGACATTGTGGGCTGCTCTGTCTTAGTGTACACATAGGTCTCATTGATGGGGATCTTTGAACTCTCCCTCCTACAAACAGAACAGGCCAGGTCTTCACTTCATGAGCAAAACCATGCCACAGTGTCACATTCAAAGTTACAGAGAGCCTGAGCATCTGAATCTGACCTGGGGAGTGTTTTCTTTTTACTTTAGATATGGAGAATTCTCAACATTCATAAGAACAGACAGAAAAGAACATAATAAGCCCCATGTACCCTTTGTTAGCCCTAAAGACCATGAATTCATGGCCAATCCTGCCTCATCCTCACTTCCATTAATTCCTTCACTTTGTGCTATTTTGAAGATAATCCTAGGCAGGCCATTTCCAGCTCGAGTTGGAATCCTGGCTCTGCCACTTACCAGCTGTGGGATCTTGGGTAAATCACTTCCCATTTCTGATCGTCAGTCTCCTCATTGACTCAGTGTTGGTGACAGTGCTAACCCCAGAGGATGGCTGTTAGAATTAAGTGAGCTCATGTCACCAAGGCACCCAGACCAGTGCCTGCAGCATAATGGCACCTGACAAATACTCTTTCCCTCTGCACGCCTAGAATTTGTTCTTCTAATTTTATTTATTTATTTTTTAGATATAGCGTCTTACTCTGTCACCCCAGCTGGAGTGCAGTGGCACCATCATAGTTCACTGCAGCCTCGGCCTTCTGGTCTCAGGCAGTCCTCCCACCTCAGCCTCCCCAGTAGCTGGGACTCTGTAGTCCACATGCCATCAAATATTAGCATGACTAGCTTTTTTTTTTTTTTTTTTTTTTTTTTGTGGCTCAGAGTGTTCTCAAACTCCTGGCCTCAAATGATCATCCCGCCTCAGCCTCCCAAAGTGTTGGGATTACAGGCATGAGCTTCTACTGTTAACCCTAGAATTCATTCTTTTACTCAAAGACCAGTGTTTTTTCACTAAGGTTCCTAGGTGACCTAAAGCTTAATTATGTGACTGCTGCCACAGGTGCATTACTAACAGCATAGCACCCTGGAAATGAGAAACGATTGTTGCACTACACTCAGCACGCACAGATCACACCCAGAGTGCTGTCTTTGAGTGTTTTTTGTTTGTTCTTTTTTTTGTTTTTTGAGACAGGGTCTCATTCTGTCATCGAGGCTGTAGCGCAGTGGCATGATTATGGCTCACTACAGCCTCCATCAGCCAGGCTCATGTGATCTTCCCACCTCAGGTTCTCGAGTAGCTGAGACCACAGGCACACAGCACCATGCCTGCTAATTATTATTATCGTTATTTTTTGTTGAGACGGGGTCTCCCTATGTTGCCCAGGCTGGCCTCAAACTCCTGGGCTCAAGCAAGGGTCGTATATTTTTAAGAAAGATAATGTAAAACTGTAGCATGTCCAGGAGAGGGGGTCACCAGACCACAGTGTGAACCATTTGTAAACGAAGTTAGGAACTGGAGCCATTTAACATGATGGAGGTACCTCCTAAGGGAGATATATTTGACTTCAAATATGTGAAGGGCCAACCCATGAATGATGAAATAGGTTTGCTCAGTTTTGTTCCAGAGGGCAGAGTGTGGAACAGGGGGATGGAGGCAAATTTCAGCTCAGCAAAGCTGTCCAACAAGGGACACAGGTCACTTTATGAGGGGGAGAGCTCTCATTCAGGCAGATATTTAAATATAAGTCTTGGCTGGGCACAAAGGCTCATGCCTATAATCTCAGTGATTTGGGAGGCTGAGGCAGAAGGATCACCTGAGGCCAGGAGTTCAAGACCAGCAAGACCCGCCTCCTCTACAAAATAAAAGTATTAGCAAGGCATGGTGTCACATGCCTGTAGTCCCAACTACTCAGGAGGCACAAATGTGAGGATTGTTTGAGCTCAGGAGTTGGAGGTTACAGTGAACTATGATGGCACTAATGCACTCCAGCTTGAGCAACAGAGTGAAACTCTGTCTCTAGGAAAATAATAAATAAATAAAAACAAATACAAGTCTACCAGAGAAACGATGGAAAGGATTCTTACCACAAAGTCCCCTGGGGGCCTAAGATTCTGTGATTCTGTGCAGCTGGGCAGATCTAAACCTACGCATTCTACTAGGCACAGCCCTGACTGTGGTTCAGGTATTCAGCTAACATTACTGTGCCATGCTTTAGGCTACACTCTGGGGATACAGAGATGACAGTCTACGGGGAGTGAGATGAATACCCATAACCACAGCACTGTGTAATGAATGTGGAGACAGCCAGGGAGGGAGTGGTTTCCGATGCGATGGAGGAGAGTCTGGAAGCTTCACAGGGGAGGTGCTGGTCAAGTGGAGTCTTGAGGGAATGGCACTCTGCCAGGCAGCAAGGGCTGTGGGAGGGAAGGTGAGCGTTCTAGGCAGTGGGGCCAGGATACACAGGCGGGGAGGCAGTACCTCAGAAAGACCAGAAAAATGTTTGGAGAAGCCACCAATCAAAGGTGGATTAAAACTCTAGACATTAACAACACTTGCTCTCTACTGGTAGGTATCAGGGGAGTGAGTTGGGGTGGGGGTGGGGGTGATGGGATCTGACTTGGCCCCTGGAGAACAGAGATTGCCTTGGCAGCTCTCTAGAACCTGGATGGTGACCAGGAGGACATGGCCTTGTTTTCTCCCATGCTGTCATGATTGGGGCATCTGGAGACCTCTTTGGCCTTGGTTCCTCCCAGGTCACTTGGACTCAGGCTAGTTGCACCATTGGACTCCATGACCCTGAGGTCCCCTTCCTGGGAGGCTGGAGAGGGAGGTGGGACAACTTGAATGTGTTCCTTCCACACCAGGAGCAGGAGAATGTGCTACAGCGGGTCCTGCAGCTGCCGGTGGTGAGTGGCACCTGCGAGTGCTTCCAGAAGACCTATACCAGCACTAAGGAAGCCCACCCCCTGGTGGCCTCTGTGTGCAATGCCTATGAGAAGGGCGTGCAGAGCGCCAGTAACTTGGCTGCCTGGAGCATGGAGCCGGTGGTGCGCAGGCTGTCCACCCAGTGTGAGTCCTCGCGGCACTCAGCAGCTGCCTGCTTGTTCACTGCCTACCTGCCAGTCTGTCTGTCTGCCTCTCAGTCTGTCTGACTGTCTGATAACTTGCTTGTCTATCTGCTTAACTGCCCACATCCCATTGCATGGTCTTCTTATCTATGGATATAAAGGTATACATACAGATCTCTTTTCATCTATAGATGCCTATCTGTGGCCCAGCTGGCATTTGCCTAGGATAACAATGATGGCCAGAGAATCTGCAGGGGAAGGGAAGGCAGAGCTATGCAGGCAGTGGTGAGGTTGGGGCCCATGGCAGACCAGACACTCACTGTAGCAGCACAGGCAGCAGCAGCAAGAACCAGCAGTCTGGCAGAGGCAGAGGCAGCCACACTAGGGGGCCTGGCAGGGCTGGAGGGCATGGAGGGAGGGGAAAGCTGGCTGAGCCCAGCAGCTGATGGTAGCGGCTCATGACGGGTGGGGGCGGCAGAGAGCCACTAGCCAGGGCCCTGGAGGCAGAAGACGGTTCTCTTACAGGCCTTACCAGGTGTGCACCACTCAAATTGTTCTGCCCCATCCGAAAATGTGGTCTCCAAGGCATAGCTCTTGACAGGGTTGAGGGAAATCGCAGTAATGCCAAAAAGTCTAGCACTTTCCACCATCCTAATTACAGAATTATGGGTAGCTGAGGACTCCACACAGCAAACAGGAGAGGACAGATGTAAAGTAGGCCCAGGCCCTGTGCCTGGCTGCAAGCTCCTTAAATAGTTGCCTTGAGTCTCATTCTGCCCAACTGGAAGACAGCTAAGTCATCTGGGCTCTCTGCTGCTCGAGAATTTTGTGAAGAAAAATAAGGTATCTGGAGAAAGAATATATGAAAGAGTACAAAGAACTCTCCTTGAAAGCTATGGCCCCCAGTGGCCATGGCTGCAGAGCCAATGTCCCGGCAGACCCAGGCGGGATCCCCTTGAAGCAGGTGCATCTCTGATGCAAGCCCACTCTCTAGGGGCAACTGTTTTCCCTTCCCTGCGACCCTCTTCAGATAGCTGACCATCTCAACACCGAGTGGTTAAAAAGAAGAGCATGGACAGCCTGGGGCCTGCACTGGCTTTGCTGGGAGTTTGTCATGTTGAGAGCTAAGCAGGCCCAGCCCCAAGGCCTCACTGCCATCTGCCTTCCTCTCACACCTCTCTTCTCCCTCCTTATGCTCACTCAGAGCCCCCATGCAGGTCCGGAGGGAAGAGAAGGAAGGAAAGAACAGTACTTGTTGGTGATTCATATAGCTCCCATCATTCTTCATAAAAATTCTGCCAGGCAGGCACCATTAATTCACCTTTTAAAAGGTAGGAAGCAGAGGATCAGACAGGCTGTGACTTGCTGAGGCCACAGGCTGCTTAGACGTGGTCACTTGGCCTTTTGAGTGCAGGTCTGAGTGACTCCAGAGTTCCCACACAGATGTAAGAAACTGGCCCGGGTCTCAAGGAGTCCCTGCAGACGGGCTAAAGAGGGCAAAGGGCCTGGGGCCCAGAGATGCTGGGGAGGCAGCAGGCCTTGGGATTTGAGGGCTCCAAGTCACTTCTTTGGCACAGAGGCCACTGCTAGATTCTCATAGAGACAGGCAGGACTCATCCAAACTTGACCCCTTCCTTCCAGTCACAGCTGCCAATGAGCTGGCCTGCCGAGGCTTGGACCACCTGGAGGAAAAGATCCCAGCCCTCCAGTACCCTCCTGAAAAGGTAAGCCCCTTCCCACCTCTTGAAGCCTCCCTCCACTCTGTCGTCACCACCTCTCAGGGAGGAGAGGGCAGGGGCTGCTGATGCCATGACTGGAAGTCTGTGTCCCATGGTGAGCATCCTCCAAGACCGGCAGAGGCTGCCTGCTCCCAAGGCCACACCACACAACAGGCTCCTCTTCTCCCTGTGAAGCTAAATGGAGATGGGCTTTCTGGGACCAGCAGGCACGAGCCCAGAGGCAAACCCAAACAGGAGCTCTGGCGAGTCCTACTGCCTCCAGATACCACACCCTGGGATCTGAGGTTCCACAGTCTGCCCTGGACCACTTGGCGACTACAGCTGCTTAAGGTCATGAGTCACACTCATTCAGATCCCAGGAGTGTCGTCCCATATCCTCAAGATCCAACATTTTATGGACCATGAGATTGAAAGTCACTTTACCTGGCTACATATTTATTAGGTAGTTGCTATGATAAGGACTCATTTTTGGTGCTTCTGGGGAATAAGCTTCAGTCTCTGACCTCATCTATCTCACTGACCAACTACCCTTCCCACAAACATGTACTGAGCCCTACCCTATGCCCGGGGCTATCACCTATGTATGCTTTATCAAGTACTCTCACTTAATCCTCTTGTCAACCCTCTGGGATAGGGGTTGTTATCTCCATTTTACAGAGAGGAAACCAGTGAGTGGAGACAGTGAGAGCAGGTCCATTGAGCTGTGAGGCCTGTGTCCTTTGCTCCCCATTTTTCCAGATTAAAGGCAACATTTTTGTCACAAAGGTGCTCCCAGGATAATGAAGAAAAAGATAAATTATTTCAATGCAGAACTTGTAGGAAGATCAAGCACACCTATAAATCAATAGAAACGCTGTGTTCTGAGGAAAGGATGAAGGAGATTCCTTGTGGGCATGAGGGTATCAGGACAGGTGGCACCAAGGAGGAGTCTTTGGGGTCATCCTCACAGGATGAGAGGAATCTTGACAGGCAGTGATGGGGGTGAAGAAGCCAGGAGATCCAAACAGTTGGCACAAGGAAGGTTGGAGCCCTCTCCCTTTAAAGCCTAGCTTAATTCCAGGTACCCAAATATCAGTGCCAGTTCCCTGGGCCTTTAGATGATGCCTTCCTGGGACCCGGGCTCAGGCCACCAGACCCCGAAAGGGTGGCCCTTCCAGGGCCTGCAAGACCACATGCCTAACACCCCCACCAACTTCCCCCAGATTGCTTCTGAGCTGAAGGACACCATCTCCACCCGTCTCCGCAGTGCCAGAAACAGCATCAGCATTCCCATCGCGAGCACTTCAGACAAGGTCCTGGGGGCCGCTTTGGCTGGGTGCGAGCTTGCCTGGGGAGTGGCCAGAGACACTGCGGAATTTGCTGCCAACACTCGAGCTGGCCGACTGGCTTCTGGAGGAGCCGACTTGGCCTTGGGCAGCATTGAGAAGGTGGTGGAGTACCTCCTCCCTCCAGACAAGGAAGAGTCAGGTACCTGCCATTCGGAGGCTCGGCCTGGGAGTGAGTTGTCACACACACTGCCTGGGAATCAGCAGGAGGTGGCAGGGCTCATCCAGCCACTGCTCTGGAATAGGGAAGGCCAGTGGGATTTTCAGATGGATTCATAATCATTTACCCCCCCCGCCCCCACCCCATCTGTAAAGAGGGAAAGTGAGTTGTGGAACTCACCAGTGAGTTTGTGGTGGAGCTAGAACACCTGCTTTCCAGTCCTAGACATGACCCAGATCTCCCCGGCCCCTCTCTTACCTGTTTTCTCTTCTTTCGCCCCAAATCGCTACCCAGCCCCTGCTCCTGGACACCAGCAAGCCCAGAAGTCTCCCAAGGCCAAGCCAAGCCTCATGAGCAGGGTTGGGGCTCTGACCAACACCCTCTCTCGACACACCATGCAGACCATGGCCCGGGCCCTGGAGCAGGGCCACACCCTGGCCATGTGGATCCCAGGAGTGGCGCCCCTGGTGAGTATCTGCCCTGAGCTCTGACTGGCCCCGTGCCTGGGAGCCTTGTGGGCCTCTTAGTCCCTCCCATCCCCCACCCATCGCCCCTTCCTGTCCTGAGAACATTCTCTCTTCCAACCTGGGCTAGGACTTTAGTTCTAAGGACAAGAGGCCTTGAGCGGGGTAGAGGGATGGCCTTCCAGACCACAGGGAAAGAGAAGGGACAGGATGTTAAGCAAGGGCAGGCCTGCCTTGCTAGAGTGCTCCTGCCCCACCACTCACTTCTATCTCCCCCATTTCCCTCTGAGTCTCCCCCAAGCCCCAGTCTTCATCCCCCCAAGTCAGCCTCTTTCTATGGGTCTTCCCACCTATAAGACAGCAGGACTTCCATCTGCTATGCAAGCACTAGGGACTGTCATCCTTAAATAAACAAAGTACATAACCTATTTTGTCAGGGAGAGTGTACCCAGCACCAATGCACCCAAGGTAAATTTGCCCTTTCTAGGCCCAGGGAGAGTTAACTCCCCACCACTCCCCACCTCCACCTCTCTGTATTTTAGCAGAAATAGGCTGGATTTTTTTCATAAGGAATTTTAGTAAGAAACTAGCGCCAGAAAAGAAAATAAAACAACATTACAGCATAAAGGTCAGCAAACAAGATTACTACTTTTCAGCCATCTTTTGAGCAGTACTTTTAAAAGCATCATCAGGCCTGGATCATTCATTCAAGCAAGTGTTGCCCCTGCAGGGATACAGGAGTAGTAGTTCCCCTCAGTCCCCTGCATCAATAACGGCTAAGACTGAGTCACATGCCTGGGCCCGGCCTGCAGTGGGCAGAACCTCACATGCCACCATTTACATGGAATAGAGTGGCATCCCCAAAAGCTGTGTAATAAGGAGGCTCTGTTTGTGGGGCTCCCTAGAGGTTTAGAATGTGCCTCAGGAGACACCAGCCCACTTGCTCAATTTCTTCCCATGGGACACTCTGGTTCATTGAATGTTTCACTCTTTAGAGATCTGGGAGGAGTATCTACCAAAGCTAACCAACATATATCCTATGGCCCAGCAATTCCACTCTTAAGTGTATACCCAACAGAAATGAGCACTTAAGTCTCCCAAGACAAGTAAAAAATGTTCAGATCAGCGATATCCTTAGCTAAGAACTGGAAGCAATGATAATGCCCATCAACTGTAGGATGGGTAAGTTACGGGAAATTCATATGATGGAATATTACACAGAAATGAAACAGAAGGAACTACTTCCATTTGCGGCAACATTGGTGAAACTTACACCATAATATTTAACTAAAGGAGCTATTAATGAATGAATACACATGATGTGACTCCACTTATATGAAGTCCAAAAATAGGCAAAACGAAGGCATGGTGACAGAGACCAGGATTGTGGTTGCTCTTGAGGGACTATGGACTGAGTGGGGGACACAGGGAGTCTTTGGGTGTGAAAATGGTCTATGTCTTGACCTGTGGTGGTTACACAGGTGTGTTCTTATAAAAATTCATAAAGCTTACACTAAAGATGTGTGGACTTTAGTGTATGTAGATTACCATTCAATAAAAAGTTTCAAGAAAAGTCTGCTGGGGCCGAGCCCTGCTCACCACCTGGCCTGGACTTTGGGGGCGAGGGGCTTCGGCTGCTGGGGCTCCCTGGTCATCAGCAGGGGCAGTTGAGCCAGCAATCTGCTGCCATCCTCCCTCAGAGCAGCCTGGCCCAGTGGGGTGCCTCAGTGGCCATGCAGGCGGTGTCCCGGCGGAGGAGTGAAGTGCGGGTGCCCTGGTTGCACAGCCTCGCAGCCGCCCAGGAGGAGGATCATGAGGACCAGACAGACACGGAGGGAGAGGACATGGAGGAGGAGGAAGAATTGGAGACTGAAGAGAACAAGTTCAGTGAGGTGAGGGGGAGAGTGGCAGCCTCAAGGTCGTCCAGTCCACAGAAGTGGTGAGAAGCAGAGGCATAGGGTGAACTCAGGAACTCTGGCCCAGATGCAGGGGCATGGCATGTGTGTGCAACACCCTTCACCCCACCCCCAAATGCCCAGCTGATGAGGGACTTCCATGTCATTCTCTCAGCTGATCCTTGCAACACTCTGTAAATAGGCAGGGCAGAGATTATTGTCCCATTTTGCAGAAGAAACAGGGGTTCAGAGAGGGAATGTGACCTGTCCAAGGCCACACTGCTAGTGGCAGAATAAGCCTGAAGTTTTGTAAATTTGGTATTCTCATGCTTTTCCCTTGAGCTCTGGGGCTGGTGAGGAGGGAAGGGTCAGGGGAGTTACTGCAGGAGGCACTGACCCTGCTCTGGCCCCCAGGTAGCAGCCCTGCCAGGCCCTCAAGGGCTCCTGGGCGGTGTGGCACATAACCTGCAGAAGGCCCTCCAGACCACCATCTCGGCTGTGACATGGGCACCTGCAGCTGTGCTGGGCATGGCAGGGAGGGTGCTGCACCTCACACCAGCCCCTGCTGTCTCCTCGACCAAGGGGAGGGCCATGTCTCTATCAGATGCCCTGAAGGGCGTTACTGACAATGTGGTGGACACGGTGGTGCATTACGTGCCGGTGAGTACCAACCCTGGCAAACTGTTAGTGTCCCAAGGGGGCCCGGAAAGGGCAGATAAAGTAGATTTGACTGAAGGGGATGCAGTCCCCCTCCGTTCCCCTACTCCTCTGGAGACCCCCCTGCAGTCCTCAGTGCCCTGGCAACATTTTGACATACTGGGCCTCTCCCAGCCCCAGGAGTATAGAGGCCCATGGCTCTGGCCTGAGGCCTCTCCCCACAGCCCCTCCCACCTGCTGGTAGAGGAGTCTCCAGCCATTAGTCCCGGGATCCCAGTGACTCACCTTCACCCCTTTGCTCCCAACTGAAGGGCCGGGCAGGTGCCAGGCAGGTTTGCATGCTGCTGTGCAGGAAGGGATGGAAGAGACTTCCAGGGCACCCTGAGGGGTGGGCCATGAGTTCCAGGGGACAGCAGCAGGCTCCACACAATTCTATCACCTGTCGCCAATAGGAAAAACCCAGGGGATACCAATGCCATCCCTTTGGGAGCCCCTTTCCAAAGCAAGTTATAGGTTATGCAGGCCTGAGGGGGGCTGGTCGGGGCAGAAAGCACCCTTAGACCTGGTAAAGGGGTGGGTTACTCAGTCACTCTAGCAAGCAGCATGCCAGGGATCTTAGCAGCCCTCCTGTTCACGCTGCGCTCGGGCCAGCCCCAAGAAAGTGTACCCATCCCTGGCCAGGTCACTGTGTGGGCTGCAAGGAAGAGTTAGGAAAGCTGATGACCTCCCATTGAGGGTTCCCCTCAGGGAGGCCTAGGGGATCCTGAAACTTCGGGAGGCTTGGCTTGCCTGAGCGGCCACGTGGTCCATGGAGAAGCTCAGAGTGGGTAGGACCTCAGGGCTTTCCCCAGTGCCCTCCAAACTACTGAACCGCTCCCCAGCCTGTGGCCTCCTGACGGCCGCTCCCGGGTAAACAATCGAGGGACCCGGGAAGGGGCGGTGGGTGAGAGGCGCAGGGACCAGGGCCAAGCCAGGACTCTAAGGCGGCTGCCGGGCCCTCAGCTCCCCAGGCTGTCGCTGATGGAGCCCGAGAGCGAATTCCGGGACATCGACAACCCGCCCGCCGAGGTCGAGCGCCGGGAGGCGGAGCGCAGGGCGTCAGGGGCGCCATCCGCTGGCCCGGAGCCCGCCCCGCGCGCCGCACAGCCCCGCCGCAGCCTGCGGAGCGCGCAGAGCCCCGGCGCGCCCCCCGGCCCGGGCCTGGAGGACAAGGTCGCCACGCCCGCAGCGCCGCGCCCGGCCTTCGCGGCCGTGCCCCGCGAGAAGCCGAAGCGCAGGGTCAGCGACAGCTTCTTCCGGCCCAGCGTCATGGAGCCCATCCTGGGCCGCGCGCAGTACAGCCAGCTGCGCAAGAAGAGCTGAGTCGCCGCATCCGTCGCCGCACCCCGGGCGGGCGGGTTTCTCTAACAAATAAACAGAACCCGCACAGCCCAGGCGAGCGTTGCCGCTTTCAAAATGGTCCCCTGGGGACCCCAGCCTCATCCCGATGATGCTGCCGAGGCACACTTTTTTTTTTTTTTTTTTTTTTTTTTTTTTAGCATCCTTTTGGGGCTTCACCCTCAGAGCCAGTTTTTAAGGGACACCAGAGCCGCAGCCTGCTCTGATTCTATGGCTCGGTTTTTACTAAAAGAGTAATTGCCTAACTTGATTTTTCATCTCTTTAACCAAACTTGTGGCCAAAAGACATTTGACTGTTTCCAAAATTCAGATTCTGCCTCTGTGGATAAATATTTGTCACGAATAAGTAACTCCTGTCACCACTCTGAAGGTCCAAACAGAAGATTTTGACACATTCTTAGCACTGAACTGGGAGATCCTCTGATGTCTAGGCTCCCAGCAGACTACTTTGAAGGGAACAATCAGATGCAAAAGCTCTTGCATGTTTATTTAAAATACTAGTGTCACTTTCTGAGTACTTGCCCCTTCACAGGCTGAGTCCCAGGCCTGTGCTTCATAGAGCCAGCTTCTTGCTCACAGCCACATTTCCATTTGGATCATTACTGCCTGCACCTGCATAGTCACTCTTTTGATGCCCTCCAGATGCTGGGGAACGAAAATGGTGATCATATATAGACTTTATAGCTACAGTTCATCACCAATCCCATTTTCCAAGGGAAATGTTAATATTTGATAAATCTAGAAAATGCATTCATGGCTGGGCTCGGTGGCTCACGCCTGTAATCCCAGCACTTTGGGAGGCCAAGGCGGGCAGATCACGAGGTCAGGAGATCGAGACCATCCTGGCTAACACAGTGAAACCCCGTCTCTACTAAAAATACAAAAAATTAGCCCGGCATGGTGGTGGGCACCTGTAGTCCCAGCTACGCAGGAGGCTGAGGCAGGAGAATGGCGTGAACCCGGGAGGCGGAGCTTGCAGTGAGCCGAGATCACACCACTACACTCCAGCCTGGGCGACAGAGCAAGACTCTGTCTCACAAAAAAAAAAAAAAAAAAAAAAAAAAAAAAAAAAAAAAAAAAAAAAAAGAAAGGAAAAGAAAATGCATTGATACAACTATAAAATTCAAACATTGCAAAAGGGTATGTGTCTTTCTCCTCGAGCCCCCATATTCCCCTTCATTAAAAACCACCATGGTGCCGTCTCTCATGTATGCAGGGCTATGCACCTGCAGGCACGTGTGTATGCACTCCCCGCTTGTGTTTACACAAGCTGTGGGGTGTTATACATGCCTACTTTTTTCACTTAATAACACAGCTTGGAGAGATTTTTGTATCACATCATAAATCCCACTTGGTCTTTTCGACGGCCACATAATAACTACTGCATAATATGGATACGCCTTATTTGATTTAACTAGTTCCCTAATGATGGACTTTTGTTTCCTTTTTTTTCTTTTTTGCTACTGCAAACAGTACTATAATAAATACCCTTATCAAAAATGTCTAGTGTACATGTGTGGAAATATATATATATACACATATGTGATAGATACGTAACTTGTAACCATGACATGCTGGGTGAAAGAATATGTGCATTTTAAGTATTCCTAGATAATACCAAGTAGCCTGCCAAACCAAACCCTATTTTTCTAGTTATTTTCACCTGCAGCTTCAGAAATATGCACAGAAAATTATGAGTCTTCAGTCAGTCCTTTTAGACATCCATATATTTATACTCATTTTCCACAGGTCCCCCTCAGACACATAAACACTCACTCTGTTAGCTCCCACTCTACTGCACACCTGGAAGCCCTGCTCCCTGAAACTGACTCTGGGGCCCTGGAACTGACTCTGGGGCCCTGGCAGATCTTTGGTGTAATGAGTCATGGGCCTCGATCTGTGGTTTTGGAGTCTGAGGATGTAGAATGGGGACAGGAGAGAAGCTGGTAGATATACACATGAAGATGTGGCCAGGCCCCTGAGCCAGCCATGGACCCTCCCCACCCCACTTCCATGATATAAACTACACCCAGCAGTTCCCTGGGGGGTGGGGAGGGAAGATGAGGGGTGGAGTTGGCAAGAGGGTTTCTTAGAAGCTGATATAACAGGGCTGAGCAGACAGAGCCCAGCACAGCCTTGGCAGGGCTCCCACGGACAGATGCTGGAGAATTGACCTCAGGCCTAGATGTACAGAAAGAAATGCCTGCCTGTCCTGGGCCTCACCCACCCAGGCTGCTTTCTTCCTAGTGTTCCAGAAACCACATTCCTAGCTATCTACTCCTCCCCAGTCCTGTGGCTCCTCCTGCTAGGCTATACTCCAGAAGGCAGGAAAGCTGCCTCCTCATCAGCATGAGGGCTGCGGCCGCCAACATGCCTGCTGGTCAGGCCCAGTTCCCTCACCCAGCCTCCGGGCCTGGGCACAGGTGCTGGAGGTTACATATGGAATAGGACAGCCCAGGAAGCAAACAGTATAAGTTGTAAGTTTCTTTTTACTGTTAGAAACCTCTTGATTAGGCAGCAAGGTACACTGAACCTGCTTCTCAGTATTTTGAATACATTTTGGCCAGTAACAAGGGCAAAGTAGCTCCTCTAAATGGCAGACATTTGCTTCCTTGACTCTAGGCTCAATGGGGGACTTCCCACTGTTCTGCGGGGCATCACTTTGGCAAGGCCCACCCACACTCAGTGTCTCCAGTGTGGCTCAGGACCTAGCAAAGACCTCCACTTCACATTGGGTTGCCCAGGGTCCTTCAGAGAAATACCCAATGCCTTCCGTTCCAGCTTACAAAACCCACTTCTAACACAGCCACAGCTTTTGGAGATGCACACAATTACAGAAATTAACATACATTTATCCAGGCAATTATTTACCTCTTTTTCTTCCCATAATTTTATTTTGAGACTGTATCGCTCTGTCGTCCAGGCTGGAGTGCAGTGGCAGGATTTCAGCTCACTGCAACCTCCGCGCCCCCAGGCTCAAGTGATTGTCTTGCCTCAGCCTCCTGAATAGCTAAGATTACAGGCATGTGCCACCATGCCCAGTTAATTCTCATATTTTTAGTAGAGACAGGGTTTCACCATGTTGTCCAGGCTGGTCTCAAATTCCTGACCTCAAGTGATCTGCCCACCTCGGCCTCCCAAAGTGCTGGGATTACAGGTGTGAACCACCATGCCCAGCCTTCCTCCCAATAACGATCTGGGATCTTAATAGCCAAGGGACTTCTGGGCATGGAGAGAGAGATACCACTATGACTTGTGCTTCAAAGCTCATTGTCTTAAGCATAACTTTCCTAACCATTTAAATACTTCACACTTAATCAAAATTTATAAAATGCATACATCACATTATTTTAAATATTTAAATGTTGATTAGGTGGCTCATGCCTGTAATTCCCAGCACTTTGGGAGGCCGAGGCTGGCAGATCATGAGGTCAGGAGTTCGAGACCAGCCTGGCCAACAAGGTGAAACCCTGTCTCTATTAAAAATACAAAAATTAGCCGGGTGTGGTGGTACGCACCTGTAATAATTGTAATAATTGCCAGCTACTCAGAAGGCTGAGGCAGGAGAATCTCTTGAAACTGGAAGGCAGAGGTTGCAGTGAGCCGAGACCACGCCATTGCACTGCAGCCTGGGCAACAAGAGCAAAACTCCATCTCGAAAAAGAAAAAAAATGTTGATTACAAGCTAAAAAGTCAAATTCTTCTAAGCTTTTCTGTAAACTGAGTCAATGGAAACTTCTGCATACCTTGTTAGTATGTCATTAGAGCTAGTGGGGTCATCCAGAGGTTCCTCTGTGCGCAGAGAGGGGACCAAGCCTGCGTGGTCAGCTCCCCATCCAGGATGTACTATTGGACCCTTCTACTCACTGCTCTACATCCAGAACACAAGCACTACCTTTAAAACATCCTGCGTGACATCCACAATCCCTCCCCATCCCCAGCCCCAACCTGCTATAACCACAGTCCTGAAGTTTGTTGTTTCGCATTCCCTTGCTTTTCTTTATAGATTTACTTCCTATATATACACTCCAATACAATATGATTGAGTTTTGCATGCCTTGAGCTTTATTTAAGTGTGATTATGTGTATTCTTGAGATTTGCTTCTTTTCACTCAAAATTATGTTTCTGAGCTTCATTCATTTTCACTAGAGATTTTAATTCTAAAACTCTATATTTAATGAGTATATATAAATATGCCCTAATTTATTCAGTCATTTGTATTAGAATGGATTCAGTTTTAAAAGACAGAAGGCTCCCAATAACAACGTGTACTAGTCAGCCTTTGCCGTGATACTGTTGCATAACAAACTGTCCTAAAACTGTGGCTTACAACAACATGCATTTATTTTTATGTTCATAGGTCAACTATGGTTTGGCTCATCACAGTGACACTCCCAATGGCTCTGCAGATCAGCTGAACTTGGCTCCAGGCTGTGCATGGGTTCAGTTCTGCACCAGGGGTGCTATTTCAGGGCTCTAGGATAAGGGGTCAGTGGCAGTGGCTATCTGGGGCATACTCTTCTCACAACAGATCACTGGAGCACAGAACCAAGTCTCATCTCAAGTCCTCTCCTTGTATCATATCTACTTACATTCCATTGGCCAAAGCAAGTCATACAGCCAAGTCCGCATCAACGGGATAGGGAAGTAGACTTCTCCCCTAGTGGAAGGGGAAGGGAGCAAATATTTGCTGAACAATAGTACAGTCTAGCACACAGTGATTTAAACAAGCGAGGAGTTTATTTCTGTCTCCTGTGAAAGCCCAGAGCTGAGTAGTCCAGACTGGAATGACACTCAGCAGTGCCAGGGATTGAGGTTCCTTCTATCTTAAGGACAGAACCTTACTATTCTGTCATGAATGATTTCTTTCCCTAAAGTCACCTCATGAATCAAGATAGCTGCTCCAGCTCCAGCCATCAACTCCATATTCCAGCCACAGAAAAGAGCAAGGAGAAAGGAGAATGGCATGCCTCCACACCAGAAATTACACACTACTGCTTATAACCCAATGGACAGAACTTAGTCACATGACCACT